TGTTTGTAAGATACATTATATATTATTTCTTCTTTCAAAAGTAGCATAGTGTCGCTTTAAAGCATTCATCGCAAAAACTCCAAGAGTGTCAGCCGATCGCAGTTTCTCCTCACTTTAATGACTGGAGCGAGCTGGAATTTGTTATCAGTACAGCTCGGGAACAAGGGTCAGCCCACAGAGTCAGCAGAACACACAAACAGACAGACATAAATATAACATATTGCACAATAAATAAAAAATCACAATATTTCAAGGACGCAGAGTGCAGCTGGATGTTCGTAAATGCAGGGGGACATTTCAGAGTGCTCTCACTTGCTAGTGGAAAGCACTACTGCCCCAACCTCCCCTTATTCTAGTTGATGGGACACAGATGTAAGAAAATAAAAATACATTCAAAGGGGCAGCAATTACCTGTGTGAGTGGTTTAAGACCTTTTCCCATCTTCCATTTAATGTTGCTATAAATAATTATTCTCCATCAGTGGAAACCTCTGGTTCTAAGAAGTGAAGCCAGTAAAGAAGTGCCTTAAACTTTCATTCTTTCTAATAACAGTCAAGAGCGACTCCTCTGGTTGTATAGAAGTCTATGAGAATATGACCCTACTTCTCACTTGATTTATTACCTCAGTAAACATTTGAAACATGAGTTTATGGTCTGAATCGCTAGTTCAGTTTACGCTAGTTTATTTTGTAAATTAAATATATACCAAAATGCCAAACTTGAGGCTACAAAACCATGAATATTGGACCTATATTCACCAGGAAGCAACAAACACGTATATCATGACATGTATGTTGATCATATATCAATGTTGAGGTAACAGCTTATAGAGCTGTTCCAGAGTAGCCGGTCTGCTGAGAATTACATTTACATACAAAAAACCCACATTGTCAATTACATTTCGAGGGAAATATATTTTCTGCGGGTTTTTGATAAATCTCAAATATGTTTCTAATCATAGTCCGTGTAGGGAGGTCTGAGGAGAGACGGATCAAACTTACTCAGGACCTTCACCCACAAGACCATTGCTGGTTTCCCAAAAGTCATTGTTGACTTACTTTAATTTAGAGTCTATAAGTTAAAAACATAAACAAGTAGTTTTGTTGCATTTTAGTTTTGCTCCAATTTACAACTTTAGCCACATGTTCAGAACTGCAACTACAACCAGGATACAATATCTTTCCCTCTATAGCTGAGAATGCAGTTTGAACAAGTTCATGTAAAAGTAAAAAATACTACTACAGTATATAAAGGCCATTACACAGTAAAGTCCTATTGTATACTAATAACATAGTCATTTTGGGTAGCGCTTTATTTAAGTAGTTATTGATTTCCAGAGCAAACATTATTCTCCATATACTGTAAGTTTGTACACTCGCCAGTTGAAAGCCAAGACACTTTTTCCATGTTCAGCTGAATAATGACTCTCTAAGTTACACTGGAGTCAACTGGAACTAATAACCTGGTAGTGCACCAATTGGACATAATCTCCATTTCCTCATTTTTGTACCATACTACGTTGGCTTTTCCAGGAACCTTCCTACGAACCTACGTTTCCAAGTCAGTTCCTTTCTAGGAAATTATAGCAAATTGGACCCCTTAAAATGAAGTGTTGCTGTCGTGGAAAACACGCACAGGCATGTATTTTTTTAAATTTGATTTATTAATGGCTCAGAGTGTCGGAGTGAGAACATTTATTTCGTACGGAGAGGGAGCTGTCCCCATCCGTGGTGCTGAAAAGATTTACAGCACTGGGGCTCCTCTTCTTGATTCCTACTTGATATCTTCTCTTCTGCTCCTCACCTTTACTATTATATACAAATGTTAAACTGCTGTATATCCACTTATAATATACATTTTAATGGATATTTTCACAGTAAGTTGTTCGTCTTTCATTATTGTATGCTATGCAGCTTAGTGATGTAGTTGTATACCAGGAAATGCCACATAATCGACACACTCTCGGAGTGAAACAAAATTCAACATTTACTTGGGGAATAAACTGACACTGTTGGGAAGCAGCGATATGTGTCAGAGCCTGAGGGAAAACCAGGAGAACAACACAGGAAACTGTGCTGTGCTTCCTCAAAAGTTGCCTCCTCTCCTCTCCTTGTTTTTGTCTCTTCCTCACAGACCAAACTGAACTTACAGCTGAAAATAATTGAATCCGTAGTCAAACCAAAATTTTACAACATGGTAGTCAATTGTGGACTTTGTACCCTTACAAAGATCTCTGTTTGTCAAACAAAGAAGATGGAGAGAAGAGTGCACCAGCCGCTGGACATCTACAACAAAAAACGGAACCTTTTATACTATTTAGCACTGAATAGACAATTCAGAGTGGCAGATATCTGTGCAGTACGAGCAATCAGAAACTAAGAAATAATGAATCCCAAAAAACTGAGTGACCACACAAGCGAACAACAATTGGCTGGTGAGTCTGGTTGTCACAGAAAAACCTGGCAACCCGTGGAAAACAGACTGAGTCAGTTCTGCCAACAACGAGATGTAGAGACAGAGCAACACTTCCTGTTCCACTGCAGCCAGTACGAGCACATTCAAATCAGGTTATTCAGCAGAAATAATACCCAAATACCAAGAATATGATGCTCTCTCAGGCTAAAAGAAATCCGGTATTTAATTGCGGGAAAGAAAACTGACCATGCCATATAAAAAACATCCACAGGGTAAAGCAGCAGAACAACACATAAAGCTGTAATGAGCTCCTTTGAAATCTGCTTCCTCTTTAGATTTGTATTATCTCTGGTCTTCTATGACTCTCACTATTACCATAGCACCACATTTAATTGTTTAACTATATCTATATTTACAATTTATTCCATTTCCTGATTTGTTGCACCAATTAGTTTTAGTGTTATTTCATGGTGTATATAGTGCTGTAATGTGCAAACTACTTTATTTGTTCTCTCTTTTTTGTTAAGTCCAATCTTCAGCCACACTAGAACCTCTCGTGATGACGTCAGTCAGTCCATTGCTTTGGTCAACCTTAAAATACCTTAACTGTTGAAAAGATCGCCAGAAAATATCGTCCTGCAGCATCCAGAGTCAACTGTCCCCGACAAAAATACTGCAATAACTACAACTGACTCATTTGTGTCAAGCTACATTAATGATGGATTCTTTGAAGAATCTTTTCACACAGTGTTTGAAAAATGAATATAAAAGTCCACCAAAAGAGCCGAAGGAAGAAGGTGAGGAGGCTCCAGACAGACAACACTGCAGGAACACTACAGATGCGTAGCACACTGCGTGGTGTTCATTTTTTATATTTTCTACTTTACAAAATACAGTGGGGAGCATTTTTAAATCGGTAATAAAAACCTTGTGAAATATAATGTATGTTTAAACTAGAGACCATAGTGTATTGGGATCAAACCAGCCGCGACGCCAAACCAGGGCGAGGCCGTAAAGCGGCTTTCTCCACTTCCTACTCTCCCACTTCCGTTGCTCAAACCACACATATCTTGCCAAACTGTTTTCTTCATTTTGAGCTCAACAGCACACCTCGATATGTCACATCGAACCATCCACACACTGTATGGAACATTGACGTAGTCGCCGTGACGTCAACCGGAGGTTTCCGAAGAACCAAAATGAAGCTCAATGTGGGCGTCTTCGGCCGCGGCCATCTTGGCAGCGACGACACAGTGGACTTACTCCGGGCAAATCCAAAAATGGGCAAAGAGGTGGAGCGTGGATGGAGCTGAGGCGGACCGAATGAAGACTTGTTGCTGGTCGACCACCATTTTAACATGGAAGTCTATGGGGACTGACTCCCTTTTGCAGCCAGCCTCTAGTGGACATTTGATGAACTGCAGTTTTGGCCACTTTTGTGTTAGCTTCATTTTTCAGCATTTGGAAGGTAATGCTTGGAGCCATCGAACTACCAACTTTGGGGGCGGCCATTGACCCCAAGGTTGGCGGTTGGATCCCCTGGATAATACTGTCTGCATGTCAAAGAGTCCTTGAGCAAGACACTGAAGCCCAAGTTGCTCCCCACTGCTACTAAAATACTTCAGGTGGGTGAAATGCAGGTCAAAAATGTCACGTATGTTTATGATTCTAATAAAAACTTGACCTGTAATGTTCAGGGGCATAAATTGGCATGGCAAAGGCTACTTCCCCCCCTTGCTCGGACCATGCCTGGTTTGGTGACTCCATCTTGGACGGTCACAAAAACTCATCCCCAGACAGACACCTGGGGAAGTACTGAGACCTCCTCTGTGGTAGTTCCTCATACAGTAGTTGTCTCCAGGACCACATTTTGGCATGCTGACTCACACACAAGGTGAAAACAACAGCGACGTGGCTGTCACGCCTGGTGACCAGGAAAGTCAGGTGTGGTTTTATGGGCTGCTTAATGGGGCCCCTTGGTGAATGTGTCCCCTCCCCTGCTCTGGCTGTAGAATCCTGGTCTTGTTTATGCACATATCATTATACACACCTTGTGCCACATCGTTTGTCAGCCTTGCACTTCATGCCAATAAAACTAATTTGAATTTGAGACAGAAAGACGTCTGCTCTTGGCACAGAACAGAACAGATAAAAATAAATAAATGAAACAAGCCGATGCTTCACAAAGTTTGGCTCCCTCCCACAAAAGCAACCACTAGTGGTAGTGAGAATAAAATCATTTATAACATGCCAGAACACTCATGCTCCATGCTTACACACTGTACTTGTTATTTCAAAGTTAGCTGGATAGATAGAGGCATTAATTGCTGCTGCTGCATACACAGCCTTCCCCTGTGGTGCATTTTCCCTTGCAATGCTTGGGCACCACAATGCCCCTTCTGCCAATATAGACGGAAACAGAGAGAGACAGACAGAACGAGGGAGAGAGAGAGACCAGAGAGGGAGAGAGAGAGAGACACCGAGAGGGAGAGAGACGGAGGGAGAGAGAGAGAGGCACAGAGGGGGAGAGAGAGAGAGAGAGACAGAGGGAAAGAGAGAGAGAGGCGGGTTGCGCCTCTCATTGAGGGAGTGTCGTCGTCGGAGCGGTCTGCTCTTCTCTTCCACATCAGACTCCTTCTATCCCTCCGTGCTGGAGGAGCGAGGAGGAACCTCTCCTCTGTTTTTTTTCTCTTCTCTCTCTCTCTGCGGACAAACGGATAATACCCGCACCACCACGGCTGGGAAGATGGTTGTTCTGCTGCATATGGTTACCCTTTACTCTCTGAGCGTCTTCAGCGGAGCGTCCGCCGCCGCGCACTGTGAGTATTCCACCTCCACGCTCACCTGTGAAGCTGCTCTCTCTCTCTCTCTCTCTCTCTCTCTCTCTCTCTCTCTCTCTCTCTCTCTCTCTC